TGACGGTCATATTGATGATGAATGTGATGATGATGACGTTGATCATGAAATCGACTGTGATATCGATAGTGAGATCGATAGTGAGTCCGAATGTGAGATCGATTGTGATATCGATAGTTAGATCTATAGTGAGATCGATTGTGAGATCGGTCGTCAGATCGATTGCGAGATCGATCGAATGAAATACAACGAGTGAGATCGATTGTGAGATCGATCGAGCGGGACCGATAGTGAGATCGATAGTGAGATCGATAGTGAGACCGATCGAGTGAGACGTTGGTTCTTCCCCCCCCGAACCTCCTTGTCAACCGAATGGTGGTCGTGTAGGTACACATGTTCGCACACAAATAAACATATAGAGAGGCACACGTACACATAAGTAAATGTATATACTCCTGGCGCAGGCTCGACCTGGCACCGCTGGGCGGCCGGGGGAACGCCAGCGCGCTCGCTGCAAGGCGGGCGTCTGCCGTGCTGAGGATCCCTGCTGGGCTCCCTGAGGAGGGGCGCAGCGCCTTGCGTGCTGGGCTTGCAGAGGCATCCGAGCAGGGCTTTACCCTGGAGGCGGCAGCGGGTTTCGTGGGGGCCCTCGAGCAGGTCCTGGTGGACGCCTCCATCTCCACTCTGCGGCGCGCCATCAAGATAGCGGCAGGCTTGCAGGTCCCGGGCAGCATGCTGCAGGGCGCGCTGTGGATCTATGGCGGGCTGATCAAAGGCGGCTGGGAGCTGGAGTCTCAGATCATACGCGCCAAAGATAAGGATACGATGCATGAGCGATTCACTAAGAGCATGCGGGCCTGGGACCGGGAGTTCCAAGACATGTTGGAAAGGAGTGTGGTGAAGGTGGTGAAGCATGTCTCTGGTAAGCCTGGCTCCATGTACGAAAAGGCGTTGAAAGGCGCCCGGCTTCTGCAGATGCAGATCGCACACTTCACGGCCAAGCAGTGCAGCGTGTTCCGCTCCACGCTCTCGAAGCAGGACACGCGGGGCACCGGCCAGGTGCGTCTGGCCGGCGCCTGGGGAACGACCGTGCACACGTGGGCCGTGCACGAGACGCCCGAGTACCTGCGCAGCCTAGGCGCCCTCGCCGAGAGGGGGGCCTACGGCGGAGGCCCAGGCCTCCTCATCCCGAACTACGTCTCCTCCATGAGCAGTTGCACGGAGCCCGCGCCCCGCCATGTCCTGGTCTGCTGCCCCGACGAGTGCGAGGAGGAGTCAGGAGGGGGAGAAACACACAGACACAAGGAAGCGTCGCTCCCCAGGACGAGATGGAAAATAGGGGAAGGGAGGTGGAAGACGAAGCCCCAGCACAGATGGAAAAGTTGGGGAATCCTATGGGCTTCCGGGCCCCTGCGAGGAGGTGCTGCCCAGGATCGAGGCCCGCGCCCACGGCCCCCGCGCCTCCCCCGGGAGCGTGTGGGCGGCGGTGCGGCCGCTGCTGAAGGGCTCGCCCGCGGCGGCAAGAGAGGCCCTCCGCTCCGAGCTGCGGGCCCTGGACCAGGCAGGGCCGCCTACGATCCGCTCCGATGCGGTTCGGTTCGGTTCGCCGGCGGGGGGGCCGCGATTCCGATTCGGTGCGATCGGGCTCGGGTCTCAAGTCGGGCATGCCCCTCCGCAGGAGGACAGTTCGAACATGGTCAAGAAATTGTCTGGGGACGACTCTTCGACTATGTTTGACTACTGGTGTATTTATTCCTTGACAATGTTTCATTTTTTATCCATAGTCCGCCTGTAGGAGGACATGCCCGACCTAACTCTATTCACCGGCATCGGCCAGGGCCAGCCGGAAGCGGGGCGCGGCGAGTCGATACCGATCCGATTCGGGACGAGTCGCTGGCGATTCCATCCGATGTATCGAGCCAGTCCGATTTCGCGATCCGATCCAGCACAGACCTGCCAGGGGCCGAACGGCACGGGCGTCGCCGTGCACGGGCGGCCCCTGGGGCGCTGGCTGCACAGGGCATTCCCGGATAGGTGCAGGATGCCTCTGGCCACGAGGCCCCTCGTGGTGGACCCCGCCCTGCTGCCCTCCGCCGCGCATGCGGCGGGCAGGTTCGTGGCCGTCGGCGCCGACGATGTGAAGGGGATCAAGAGCCACCTGGAGGCGCGGTGGGGCACCGACAGGACGGGAGGAAACCCCGCCTCCTTCGCCTGGCGGAGCCACTGGACCTTGCAAGAGGAGTTCGTGCTGCTCAGCGGGCTCCTCAGGGCGAGGAGGAAGCTGAGGGACCCCGACGACGACGACAACGACGACGAAGGCCCGCAGGTGGCCGAGGCGCTCGAGGACGCCCTGAACGTGCGAGTCCTGGCCGCCACCGCCGAGACGGGCTCCGTGGAGCACAACCTAGCGTACCACCTGCTTGCCGCGGTGGCGGCAGTGGGCGGATCCCCTGTGTTCTCTCTCAGCCTGCGCGTGATGCTGCGCATCCTGAGTGCCATCGTGAATGCCGTGCTGCTGCCTGTGGTCGCCGGGCTCTGCTGGATACTCTCGTCGATCTATCGGCGGACCGCCGCCGCCATCGCAGCCACCCTGTCGGCCTTGGCGGCCACGTGGGAGGCATTGCGAAGGCTGGGCACCGCAGCCGCGAGCCTCCTGCGCCGCCCTGACTCCGCGAAGACAGACCCGAAGCCACGCGAGGCCAGGCAGGGGCTCTCCTCCAAGGCGCCGCGGGACGCCACGCAACAGCAGCCGCAGCCGCAGCCCAGGAAGCCCCCAGCGCCAGCGCCGGCGCAGCCGGAGCAGCCCGCGAGGCAGCTGCCGCAGGAGCCCGCGGCACCGCAGCCGCAGGACCCTGGAGGCGTAGCCTCGGGCGCAGACGAGGAGGTTCCGCTGCCCTCCCAGCAGGCGGGCGCGGAGGCGCCGCAGACCCGCCTGGAGCCCGCCGCCGCCTCGGCGCCGCCGGCCTCGGAGCCGGCCTCGGAGCCGGAGGCGAGGGCAAACCCGTCGGCGAAGAGGTCGTCCTGGGCCGACATGTACGACAACGAGAACGAGCCCCCGTGCCCGGCGATGTGGGCGGCCACGGAGCCCGCAGAGCCGCCCGAGCGGCCCCGAGGTTTGCAGCTGGTGAGCGCGCTCGTGAGGGGAGAGCCATCAGCCCGGAGGTGGCAAAAGCCAAAGGCGAAGCCGGTGCCCTCGCCAGCGCCGGCCCACGCGCCGCCAGCTGGAGCGCCGCTGACAGGAGCCCGCGCACATTTCGCGCCGCCCACGCCGCCGCCGAGCAAGCCACCCAGCCGGGGCATCGGCCTCGTCAAGGGCCTCTTGGGGAGTAGGCCCCAGCAGGACACTGAGCCGCACAGCGGGCTGGTGCATGCTGCAGCCCCGGTGGCCCCACCCACAGCCCCTCCGAGCGACGCGCCGCAGCTGCGAGCGCTGTCTCCTCGGTTTGCCACGAGTGCGCTGCGATGGCGACCACAGAACTCTTTCGGCTACATCGTGGGCGAGAAGTCCGCCAACGGCGAGCAAACGGCGGCACAGGAGCCCTGGGTGGCCGCAGGCACTGTCGAAGCCCCAGCTCCGGCGGCGGCGCACGGCGTTTCCAAAGGACGGTGGCCTGATGGCAGTCGCGTCCTGCCGAGTCCGCCTTTGGGCCCAGCTCCAGCGGCGCCGGCTTGGGATCGCAAGGAGGCCGATGGCAACGGCGAAGCAGGCCGAGGAGTAGGCAGCGTTGGTGGATCCAGGAGGGCTGAACAAGGCAGCGCCGCGCCGAAGCAGGCGGCCATCACTGAGGCGAGGGCCGCGAGTGGCGACTCTCTACAGGACGCGTCCCACCCTCTAGGCGCCTGGTTCCGGCGGCGCGTATTCGAGCTGAGAGTGATGGTGCCCATGGGCCCTATGGAGCTGCTAGGGGTGCTAGAGTCACTTACAGACGACCAGCTGGCGCCGCCCTATGCCGAGGCCAAGATGTGGCTAGGGCTCGACGAGAGTGAGCCACTGCCGGCGGCGCTCGAGACGCTAGTGGCCGAGTTCTTGGCGCGGCGCGGGGAGGGCAGCCCGACGGCTTCCGCCGGCGCCGCCGCGGGAGTCGACGCAGGACGCGCCGGCGCTCCTGCGGCCATCGGCCGCACAGGCGCCGCCTCCGAGGCGACCCTTTGTGGCAAGAGCGGCGGCAACACCCAGTGGAATCGAAGAAAAAAAAACGCCACCAACAGAAACTTTTGGCGCTCCGCGCGGATTCCTTGGATCAGCGCTGAGCCCCCCCGGCGGCGCCTCCAGCGCCGCCCCTGGCGCACTCCGCGCGCCAGGGAGGGGGGCCCAGCGCGGATCCAAGGAATCCGCGCGGAGCGCCAAAGGTTTATGCTTAAGGCGTTGTTTTTTTCTTTTATGGAAGCCGAATGACGCGTCGGTGGGCCGCTGGGTCCCCAAGCAGAGCCCGGCGGCGGGGGCGGCGGCCGCGGCCGAGGGCTCGCCCGCGGAGCAGCAGCAGTCGGATGAGGAGCTGGCCGGGGCGCTGCAGGCGGCCGAGTCGAGAGGGGGCCGTGAAATTTATTGTCTGTGACCACATGGCCATCAGTAGGGGAACGAAAAGTGACATAAACATAAAAACTCGGAGGTCCGCGCGGATTTCTCGGATCGGCGCTGGGGCCCCCCGGTGGCGCCTCCGGCGCCGCCCTTGGCGCGATCCGCGCGCCAGGGAGGGGGGTCCAGCGCCGACCCGAGAAATCCGCGCGGACCTCCGAGTTTTTATGTTTATGCCACTTTTTGTTCCCCTGTTATCGTCTGTGTGACCACATGGCCATCAGGCCCGCCAGCTCCCTGCATCCAGCCTTGAGTCGGGCATGTCCCTCTGCAGGAGGAAGCTTCAAGAAGAGTCAGAAGATCATGTGGGGACGATGTGTTTCGTACTTCTGTTATTTGTTTGAAAAAATGTTTTGACTTTTGGCCTGTAGGAGGACATGCCCGACCTAAATCCAGCCTCGCGTCATGGAGTGGCGCGGCCGCTGCAGGCAGGTAGTCCAGCGCCCCGCGGGTCCCAACGACCTCACCGCTCCGCCTGCCGCCGGACTGGCTTGAAATGAGGAGTGTCCCCAGCGCGCGGTGCTCCATCGACAATCGAAGAACAGAAAAGTGCATAAGCATACATTCTCGGAGGCTCGCGCGGACTTCTTGGATCCGCGTTGGGCCCACCTGGCGGCGCCTCCGGCGCTGCCCTGTGCGCGCTCCGCGCGCCAGGGAGGGACGGCCAGCGCCGATCCAAGAAACCCGCACGGACCTTCGAGAAGCCATGCTCGTGCCGTCGTCTGCTCCTCCAGCGAAGTTACAACTCAATGCCTCGTGCTTCTAGCCTCCGGGACAGTGTCCGGCGCACGAGACCGCCCTCTCGGCCTTGGGCTGCCCCCGGCCGGCTTTCCCACCGTGGCGGTGGCCTTCCAGTGGGGCAGGCGCCTCGGCCTCAGACGCCCCCCCTGCCTCCCGAGGAGACCCCTTGCCTACGGTCGAGGTGGATTGGAGAGGGCACGCGAGAGGACGCGGGACCCTTCCGAGGGCCACGCTGCCGCAGAAGTGCAGAAGGCATGGGTCGCGACACACAGGACACAAGGGTGCCCTGGACTCGGCAGGGTACCTGCAGGAGCCCCCGATCCTGTCCAAGAACCCCCCTTTCTGCCTTCTTGTCGGAAGGCTGACGCCCTCGCCGCGCCCCGGCCACTTGGCCGCCGCGGGCGCACCCTCCTCCTTTCTGTGTCGCCCACTCCTGTGCACGCTCTCAAGCAGTGGCGAAGCGTCCTGGCTTGCCTATAGGCCCACCAAAGACAATCCTAAGAACCTCTTGTGGCTTGCACGAGATGTCCTCAGAGCATGTCTGGCTGATATCGTCTTGTTTTGCGCCGTCGGGTTGATGTTCTAGGACCACTGCTTCAGTTCTTAGATCATCGTCTGGTTCGAACAGCATGTCGTGGTAGGCCGATAACTGTCGATGATTCTCAGGACGTGTGCTAACCCAATGTTTGTGTTACCCCCATTCAGCTCAACCCGTAGATCATTACGTCGCCTGCGTCGCATCGAAGGTCCTCGACGGACAAACACACGTTGGGGCTAACACACGTTCTGAGGATCATCGACAGAAAGCCGGACGGTCGGCCCCTGCGCAAGACTCAAGAGTTATGATGCTCCAACCTACTTTAGCGCGGATCACCAGGAAGCATTTCGAGCGGCCCAAAAAAAAAGTACCGAAACTCAAGGCTTTTCACGTGTCGGGCCCTGGGAGACACTCGCCCGACACTGTTTCGTCGACACTGCTTGGACACTCTTTTGACATGTTTCTGGGTGCTCGAAATGATTTCTGGGATGGGGTCCTGAAGTCGGACGGGAACCACATAACTCGAGAGGCCACGCTCCTGGCTGTGCAGTACCTGTGCTCGCCCGAGCGCGCACGCCCGCGGGCCGCGGGGCCCTCGAGGGACGGCCCCGCCCCTGGGCGGGCTCGGCCGCGGCGCTCACGGGGGGGGGGGGGACATCGAGCTGGAAGTCTGCACGAAGGACATGGGCACGGAAAGAGCGGGCACAGCCCTCCCCCTCCTCCCCCCTCCTCCTCCCTCCTCCTCCTCCTCTCCTCCTCCTCCTCCTCCTCCTCCTCCTCCTCCTCCTCCTCCTCCTCCCCCCCTCCTCCTCTTCTTCCCTTTTCCTCTTCTTCCCTTGTCCTCCTCCCCAGCAGCAGTTCCTGCTCATTTTGAGCAGGACTCGCTGCCCGCGCCGCCGCGGCCTGTGTGCATTTGAGACGGAAGGCCTGCTTGCCCAACAGCGGCCGCTGCTGTTTTTTTGGACAACGTTTGTTGTTGAGCATTGTACCCATTCTTTCCGTGCCCGCTTCGGGCGTCCAAAGGAAAAAAGTCGGGCACGTCCCTCTACAGGAGGAACAATCGAAGATAGTCAAAAATAGTCTGGACTCTCTTTGAATTCTTCGTCCAAGATCCGCCTGTAGGAGGACATGCCCGACCAAAAGCTGGAAGCAGCTATGCATCGCCGATAGATCGGCGACGTAGCTGCCTCGATCCGCCCGTGATGAAACGTAACACGTGCCGTGTTCAAAGCACGTCAGTGTGTCAGCACGCTGCGTGCTGGTTCGGCACATGTTGGCCGACGTCTTGGCGAACGTATCGCACCAGACGTATGCGTATTCAGTATACGTGTTAGGCTACGTGTAAACACGCTGTGGGTTACGTGTTGCGTACCAGGGCAGCTAAGATCGGCGACAGGCCCCCGGTAGCGAATCCGCACGTTCTTGGGAGGGGTGGGCAGTCAGGCACATATGGACGATGTATCGCCGATTCCAGCTCAATGTCCCCCCCTTGAGCGTATTCCCCCTTTGTCTTTGCCCCTCAGTGCATTAGCGTTCGCCATATACGTATTCTCTAGGATTCGCCAGCCACCCGAAGACGGCTCCCGCGTTGAGTGCCTGCTGCTGTTGCCGTAGCGGCCCCAAGAGGCATCGCGGGGCGCATCTGGAACACGAGCTCGGAGGAAAAGTGTGTTAGCAATATGATGTCACCCCTCCCTTTCGGGGAAACGTAACATTCGAGTGCGCCTGAACTCAGGTTTGCCGACGCTTCTTGTTGACGGGCCCGTCCTGAATGTTGACGGTCCAGTTTTCGTGGGATGTGTGCAGCGAGAGTTCGCGTCAAATTTCAGAATGGGTCTAGTGATTTTCCTGACGGCACCGTCAGGCCAGCCCGAGTTCCCCGAACCCGAGTCTTACGTCTCCCCGACTCTTGAAATCATTCAGACACACCATGCGTCACAACTGCACTCTCCAATTCTGGAATACGTTTCGCGGTTTCCTGCCCGACCCGCCACCGTGCTTGAGCCATGAACCTATCTCCTCTTCGATGTCTTTTGGGCTCTTGGGGGGCTCTTGTGAGCATCTTGGAGGCTTCTTGAGACGCCCAGGAAACAAAACCAGCATGCGAAATTGCTGAAAAGTCTCATCGCTGTTCAGTCATGTTGGCATCTTGGAGGCTTCTCTGGGGCCTCTTGGCTTGGGGCCCTCCTGAGGCCCTCTTGGGACCTGCTTGGGTGCTTGGGTCCTCTGGGTGCTCAGGCCTTCCAGAGGCCCAGAACAGGGCATCAACGCCCGAAAACCTCGACCTTCGAGCCCCTCCTCTGACGTCGCAGCTGTTTCGTGACGAGCCCCCTGGCGGAACGGGGCTGCAGCCTGGGTAGCTCGTTCCAGAGCGTTCCGGTAAACTCTCAGAGCGTGCCGGAGCGCTCTGGAATGGCCGCGGCGCTCGACGCATCCTCCAGAATTGCCGGATCTGAGATATCACCGATTTGTCTTGGCCCGATGTTGTTTGGTTCTGGTTTCTGGAGATCTCGACGGATTGCACGCCCAGATCCCGAGGGTCTCCTCCCTCCTCCCGCGCCCCTCGATGATCTTGATCTCGGCCTCCCAGATGGGGTCGGAGTTGACATTAGATGGGGTCGGAGGATCGCGCCGCATCGGCGATGCATCGCCGATGCGGCTCGACGCGGAGCCCGATTGGCTCCACGTCGATGGCGCCGACACATCGGCGACGTGGCGTGATCCTCCGACCCCACCTACTCGGACCCCACCTGGGAGGCCTTCAATACCGCGATATGTCGCTGATACCCCCCAAAGCTGGGCAAATGAATATGTCATCCGGGGGCTAAACTGAGGGGTGACAACACCCAACAAAACTCGGCAAATCATTTAATCGCTTCGCTCATTCCGCCGGCCCGTATTGTGCCATCGCAGGCGTTTGCTTGCGCGTTCGTGGCCTCTTGGAGCCTCGGTGGGGCCGTTTGGGGCCTCTTGGCGCCTCTTTTTAGGCCTCTTGGAGAACTCGGGAGGCCTCCAGGGGGCCTCCTGAGCTCTCGTGACGGTCTCTTGGGGGGCTTTCGGCGGGCTCTTGGCGGTATTTGTTGGTCCTCTTGGGGCCTGGGGCCTGACGTTGTTGGTCCTCTTGGGGCCTCACGGGAGCTTATTGGGGCGTCTTGGGGGTGTCTTGGAGAGTCTCTTGGGGCCTCTTTCGGGGTCCTGGGCGCCTTCTGGGGCGGAGGGCTCGATTTTTCAGTTCTCGGTTCCCTTCTTGAGCCCCTCTTGGGCCCGTCTTGGGGCCTCTTGGTCCGCCTTGGGCAGCACTTGGGCCGTCTGGGGGGCGCTCTTGGGCCGCTCCGGGGCCGTCTTGGGAGCCTCGTGGGCCGTCTTGGAGCAGTCTTGAAGGCCTCTTGGGCCCTCTTGGAGCGTCCGGAAGCGAAAAGGCCAGAACGCAAAAAAACATAGAAAAAACAAATGAAAATCAACGATTTTGGCAACTTGGGGCCCTCTTCGGAGGCCTCTTGGAAGGCCCTTGGAGCGTCTTGGAGGCCTCTTGGGCTGTCTTGGGGCCATCTGGGGCGTCTTCGGGCGATCTTTGGCCGTCTCGGGCCTCTCTTGGACCGTCTAGAAAGCTTCTCGGGGCCCTCTTGGACCGATCTGGAGCCCTCTTGGACTCCGAAACAGAACTCCGGCATCTCTGACCCGACCTTGCCGGGGACTTGCCGGGGACTTGCCGGGACCTTGCCGGGGTACTTTTCGCCCGGGGACCCCCAGGGGCCGCCCCGCGCGCGCGAACTAGAAATACTGTTAACCAGGTACCGGAGATCTTAGCACGCCCTGGCCCGTTGGGCCGGCAAATTATTCCGCCGCCGCCGTCGTCGTCGTCGCTGCCGCACTCGCCGCTGTCATTTGCGTTGGCGTCGTACTACTATTATTATTACTACTACTACTACTACTGCTACTACTACTACTACTACTACTACTACTACTACTACTACTACTACCACTACTATTACTATTACTATTACTATTACTACTACTACTACTACTACTACTACTACTACTACTACTACTACTACTACTTCTACTACTACTACAACTACTACTACTACTACTACTACTACTACTACTACTTCTACTTCTACTACTACTACTACTACTACTACTACTACTACTACTACTACTACTAACTACTACTACTACTACTACTACTACGACTACTACTACTA